CCCCAAAACCCCAAAACCCCAAAACCCCAACTATTTTTAACCCCTTTGAAACAATAATTACTAAAATTATTAAAATATTATAAATTTGAATGGAAGCCATGAATATGAAAGCCGTATGAAGGAAAGAAAGAAAGCTATCAATGAGGGAGAAAGCAATTAGTTTATCATGCGCTAAAAGTAGCAAATATGATAGAATGAATATTTATGCTCAATCCTACATCTTTAAAAGCTACATTCTCAAACTTGAAGGTTATACAGAGAACAAAGCTCACCATAGAATTTTTGATAAGGATTTAAACTGATACTTGATGCTTTCCCAGAAGAAAGATCAAGAATTTAATTTTGAGCTACGTTTAAAGAAGAAATTCAGAAAAGCAAAAATTGAGAATCTTGGCCAAAAGATCATTTGTTTTAAGCCTGACCAAATACTGATTAATTCAGGCTTTGAAAATCACTACAGCTTAGTAAACAGGTTATTTAATCCAGTTATAAGAATGCTGCAGAACAATTTGAAAGACATTAGTATTGAAAACATCAGATTTACATCCAAGCAACTCTCTGTGTTATTTTACAACTTTCCAAGATGTGAGACAGTTTTCTTGTACAGTTGAATTCTTGACACTTTCACTCTGAGATATAGGGAAAGAAATAAATATAATCTCAAGACTTTCACTCTTTGTGATTGCTTGGATAAGCATACAGATTATATTTGGCCAACCCATGGTATATTCAGCTTGATTTTAACATGGATATCCTTCCCAAGAATTTCTGAAAGGTTCAAAACATTTACATTTAGTGCATACGAATGGGATGAACCTGAAAATTTTATGCTTAATCTCAGAAAAGAGCACAATCTCGAGCATATATAACCTTCTGGTATGAGACTGATAATGGGCAGTTTGAACTGCCTCCAGAAGAAATTCAATAGACTTTTTGGAATTGGGAGTACTGAGTGGGGAGAAGAGGAGATGGGATTAAGGGAGAAGGTAAAACGGAGGAATAGGAAGGGGATAGGGACAAAGAGGGTGATAAGATTAAGCCTGTTTGAAAGAGTTTTGTATTTTAAGCTGGTTTATCTCAAAATATCGATTACTTTTGATCAATTATCCTTCATTCCTCAACCCTCCAACAATTCCCCAATACATTCACCTCCAATCTCCAGCCCCTCCTTCCCTCTTCACCTTCTACCCACCCTCAGCCCAATCCTCCATTAAACCCTGCATGCGCAAGCATCAATCTTGCATAAAAACTACTAATAAATTAACAAACTTCTACACACAAAATAAAAAGCGGGGTTTTGGGGTTTTGGGGTTTTGGGGTTTTGGGG